GTGAATGGGATATTTTTGGATATCCCATCCCAGTGAATGGGATATTTTTTGGAAATTATTAAGGTATTCTCTGCCTAATGATGAATTCAGAAATCAATATACTTCTAAATGGCATGCTGTCTATTTAGGGTAACAATGCAATTAACTGTCCAAACAGGTAAACAGAGGTAGTAATTAGCCAGTTCTGACCAGTTCTGACAAATCAGTAAGAGAAATTTTGAGTAGTTTGAAGAATCAGCAAATACCATCTCTAACTGGCCCTGCCTCACGTTGCTTCTTGCCGCTTCCGTGCTCTGCCACCTCGCCCAAACCGCCTCCTCTGTCCCCGCCGCTGTGTCCGACAGGTGTCTCGCGTTTATGGCGGACATAAACATGAGACGCCTGTTGGAGACAGCTGCGGGGACAGAGGAGGCGGGGGGGAGGCGGCAGCCGGCAAAGAAAGGGGAGAGGAGGAGGACGAAAGGGAGACAGGAGCAGAATGGGGCTCCCAGTGGGGGGGGAGAGGAAAAAGGGAAGTGGGGCAAAGGAGGCAAAAGAAAGAGAGCACCAGCCCGCCAGCAGAGGCGGGTAAAAGACCAGCTCCTGCTGGCGGGCTGCCCCTCTCTTCTCAAACAAGGCTGCCCTCCCTGCCTCTGTCCCTTCCCTCTCTTCTCAAACAAACTCTCTCTCAAATTGAGAGAGAGTTTGTTTGAGTGAAGTGAAGAAACACACGTATGCACACACACAGACACAAATTACTCACAATAAAAAATTACTTAAAAATTAAATTACAATAATTTTGAATTCCTCCCCCCTCCCTCCCCCCTCCCCACATACCTTTTCCAGCTGTGTCACAGAGGATTTCAACTCTCCTCTTGTCTGTCACGATGAAAATGTGAAAATGTAAAGAGAAAAAGGCAAGAGCTGCTCTAGTCAGGCTAGGATAGTTGCTGCTAGAGTCACCACGTGGATGACTCTGCTTAACTGTTTAAAAAAAGCCTTTAAACAAAGTGCCCACTGCAGGAGGAGGCGAGAGAACCACATGCCTCCTTTGCATAAGGAATTTTTCAGCTTTTAACCCTTGCTTAACTCTGCTCAAGTGATCATAAAGCTAGAGTAAAGGAGGCACATGGTTCTCTCACCTCCCCCTGCAGTTAAGCACTAATCAGAGTCATCCACTGTGACTCTGGCAGCAACTACCTCNTGAGATTTGAACCGCTGACCTGCTGATCTAGCAGTAGCCTGCAGTGCTGCATTTAACCACTGCGCCACCTTGGCTCTGAATAAACAGATAAACTCCCAAGTTGCCTCAACGATTCTCTAAAAGAATGCAAATAACCAGCTGTGTGAGAGGAATATAAATCCTTCCATTCTCCACCATCCAGTCAGAGCTGAGGAAGCTTCTTGGATGGGAAAAGAAACATCATCAAGGAAAAACCAAGGAAGTCCAATTGCCTCTTGGAAAAGCATCTTTGGAACAAAAGCAACTTTGGGACCTAGATAACTGAGAATCTCCATAGACATATTGGCATTTACCACCATAATAGTTGGATGACAGTGAAAGATAAACTAAATCATTGTACAGAAATGACTTTAACCAAGTTTTCATGTCAACCACAGGCCTCAAACTCTTCTATCTATTATCCCATTCAGGCACGGATTGGACATAGGCTTATTTTCAACAAAGCCATTCTCTTCCATTTGTAGTCTGTACTTACAAGTGGGATTTAGTTAATTACAAAAAGCAAACCAAATTCCAGTCTGTTTACTCAATCTGCCTTTAAATTTTTAAATTGTATTGTAATGCAGTATTTTAAAGGAAAAATGAGCATAATGACAACAATTCTATTGAAATGGGTTGGGAAGAGGGCACAAGTTAGGAACAATTCCTCTGTTTATTAAACATTAGGATAAATGCACATTTTAGCCATGGGGATAGGTATGAATTACTTTTGTTTTGTAGTCATGGTCTATAACACAACAAAATAAGCACCAGAAATAGCAGTCATTGAAAATTACTAACCATCTGTGGGTGGAATTTACCCACAATATAACAGATTTTGCAACATTTATGGAAATAACATTATCTTTATTGTCTACTAAATAGTGCAAATAAAACATAGCAAGATCTTGAATATCCTGATTAAAAAGGACTGTTAGCTGGAGGTAGATTTCCCTGTAGTGCTGGCAATAAGGGAGAACATCATGCTATATGTTTTCTATGGCAGTCACACCATGTCAGCCCTTTGAGGTAGTTCAGGAAAGAAACTAAAATTATGAGTTATTAACACAACCTTTATTATAACTTTCAGTAACAAAACCTTGAAAGTCTTAAAACACTTCTCCTTTATCTGTTCTGAGATGCTTTCTCTGCTGCTATTTTCTGTGAGCTGAGTTATCTCTGGTCTTTTATCTAGCCCAGGGATATGGTGGCTCAGTGGCTAAGATGCTGAGCTTGTCGATCAGAAAGGTCGGCAGTTCAGCAGTTCGAATCCCTAGTGCCGCATAATGTGACTTGTCCCAGCTTCTTCCAACCGGGCAATTTGAAAGCAAGTAAAACATACAAGTAGAAAAATAGGAAACACCTTTGGTGGAAAGGTAACAGTGTTTCGTGTGTCTTCGGCATTTAGTCATGCTGGCCACATGACCACGGAGATGTCTTCAGACAGAGTTGACTCTTCGACTTTTAAAGGGAGATGCGCATTGCCCCCTAGAGTTAGGAACGACTAACACATATATCCGAGGGGAACCTTTACATTTACCTATTATCTAGGCCAGGTAACTTTAAGACTCGTGGTTCAACTCCCAGAATCCCCCAGACTTGCATGAAATCTTGCCAAACTAAAACTACTTACGGTACATCTTTAACAATATACACTGAGAATCAATAAGGAGATGTCTTGAGTCTCTTTCTCCAAACCAAATTCTTTCTCCCAACCATATAGCAATAGCAGTAGACTTATATACCGCTTCATAGGCCTTTCAGGCCTCTCTAAGCGGTTTACAGAGAGTCAGCATATTGCCCCCAACAATCTGGGTCCTCATTTTACCCACCTCGGAAGGATGGAAGGCTGAGTCAACCTTGAGCCGGTGAGATTTGAACCGGTGAGATTTGAACCGGTGAGATTTGAACCGG